AAAAAAAAAAAAAAAAAAAAACAGATCAAGAATTACCTTACTAATACGTATCTCTTTAATTAATCACAGAGTATGCTGAAACTTCAAGCACAACTTTAGCTGCTTAAATTCACGCATGTAATGGGCTGTCTTGATGAACGTAAACTCCACTTTATAAAGAAATAGTCAGGAAGTAATCATTCTAACCCCTCTAGCCCCCTACAATGCTACACATATCTATATATAAACATGGTTAAACTGGTCTACGATGAATAGGATAATTCTGATTGGCTCCCTGAGCGGTCCGAATTTTGCAAGGTATGTGGTGGGTGAGCGAAACTGGGATGAGGCGAGCGCGAGAGTGAAGGTGAGAGCGAGGGCGATCTGGCGAAGAACGCGGTGTTTTTCCACTCGTTCTTCGCGCCGCGCTACCCGAACGCCTGCAACAGGGACTTGGAACAGGCTTTTGGACTAGTTGCCGGGGATTAAGGTCGCTTCAAGCTCATCCTAGACCGCAGTACTAATATATTTCTGTGTTTATTTGCAATTTAAAGGTGAGGTTGTGGTGTGTCTCGCTAAAGACGGTGGTTTTCAAGTTCTTAGCAACGATGGGAAACCCTTGCGAAAAATCCCGCTTCCGTTCGCAAAATGTAACAAGGTTTTTGCTCCCGAAGCCATTGCTCTTGATTCCAATGACAATATTTTGATCGTTGACAGTATGAGGAATTGTCTGCTGGTCTTCTCGCCTGAAGATGGGCATCTTATTGCAGAATGCGCAAGAGATAGTCTTTGTAATCCGTACGGTGTTGCTGTGGATAGAACTGGAAGAATTATTATCTCGGATTCTTCAAATCAAATTAAGTTTTTTTAAATCGCGAAGCTACTGTTTCCATAGTAAACACACATCTCATAATGTCTTTTTGAGAGTTAAATTCTTCTTTATTTCATGTGCCAACAAGTAGGCAAAGCTGTAAGTAATGTATGGAGGAAAATAATAAAAAAAGAGTTGAAAAAGAAAAAACCTCCCACTAGCGTCAGTGACCCAAACTGTTATCCCACCAGCTTCGCCCACTGATTGGAGAGTCGGGGCACAGGATGGGCGGGGGGTGGGGCGGGGGGGGGGG